AACAGGCAATTTTTTTCGTCAATTAAAACGATGCGCTCCCCCAGTTTGCGCAGTGGCAAGACGCAGTCAAGATGTCGCCGAGATGTCGCCGAGAAACCTTTGGTTCCGCCAGGCCACGCCTTCCACCCCCCGGGGGAGGGCGCCCCTGGTCCACCCGAAAAGACCCCCCCCCCCCCCCTCCCCCCTCCCCCCGCCGCATTTCCTCAGCCCGCGCCTGCGTCTGGTCCGCCGCAGGTTCAGCACACACCTGGACGTCGAGATCCAGACCCTGCTCTATGACTCGGTGGACGCGTACATCGCCGACTGCGCGCTGTCGCCGAAGGAGGTGATGGCGCACATCTGCTCCGCCATCGACTACAAGGACAACGACAAGCTCCTCGAGGAGCACGTCAACCACATGGCGGCCAACACGCTGCGCGACGACGGCGTCTGTGTCAAGCTGGTGACCCGCACTGGAGAGTCGTCTCCCGGTGTGTATGTGGAGGACCGCGGCCGGCGACTCCTGCACACGGTCCTGCTCGGCGCCGAGCACGAGTCTCACTTTGAACAGCGTTGCCACGAGTGCGAGGTGTGAGGCGGGAAGCCTCTGCCACGTATCAGGACAGTGTGAGCGCGCCAGGGGCGTGTGAGCTGCGTGGGGGCGCGCCGGCGGCCCACGCTCGACCGTACTTCGAGATACCGCCAGACGCGCGCGCACGAGATTATAGCATCTAGGAGCAGATTGTGTCGTACAAAAAAGTTAGAAGCACTCTGACAGGCGCCGCGTGCGACACGCACCCCGACCGCCGGACCCAGAGCATATACAACTAGGTCCCGCCGGAAGCATAGGCCGCCAGCGCCGCCCCTACATGCGCCTGCATCAGCTCTGCGCGCAGCGCCACGAGTTGCAGCTCGTCACGCGAACTGCCCACGGCGGCACTGCGCGGCCTGTCCTCGCTGCGCTTGGCAATCTCTCCGCGAAGCTTTGTGTGCGCAGCCTGCGGATCGGCGCGGCAGGCGCTGTCAGCAATCAGCGTGGAGGCGAGCGCGGGCGGGCGTGGTGCACCTGAAGCGAGGAAACAAATGCGTCCGTGGTGCTGTTGAGCGTGGAAGTGTCGACGTCGCCGACTTGGCTCTCGATCTGGCTTTGCGCCGCCGCCGCTGCACGCACAGCCGCGACGATGTGAGCAGACGCCTCCTGTGCAGCCATTAGCTCCGCAGAATCGCAGCCCAGTAACGGAGCAGAGCGGGGAAATTCAGCGCCTTCGCGGCGTGCTGAAAAACAAAAAACAGTGGTTCCGAGCGGTGATGTCAGTGAGGAATGTGTGTGTTGTCGTGCTAGTGTCTGGTGTCTACTAGCCCCGAGTAGAGGGGGCGTTCCGCTGCTAGGGGAAACCCGGAGCGCAGAGCTAACCCTCGGGGACCCGTGTTTACTTTACAGCCCTTTCCCTGCGAACGCGCACCCCCCTACCTAGGGGTCAGGGCTCTCTAGCCCGTAGCCCGATCCCGATCATCCGGCCCGCTGGGTGCGCTTCTTAGCTCCCCGGCCCTGGATGTGAGGTTACCGACTGTGCACTCCAAGTGCTCCAAGTGCTCCGCTCCGGCGATGGCAGCGGCTCCTGATGTACCTCCGCTTTTGGGTGGCGGTGCGCGCGCTGCCGACGGCGCTCGCCGGCGCTTGCGGCGCTACGCCTACGGCGCTCGCGGCGCGCTCGTGCGTCGTGGCGTTCAGGGCGGCTCCACACGCACACGCACACACACTCACACGCTCACTCACACACACACACACACACACACACACACACACACACACACACACACACACACACACACCCTACTGTCTGAATACGTTTTCCACGTATTCCAAATGACCTCCCAGAGGCCTGTATTCCACCCGTATTCCACCCGTATTCCACGTATTCCATGGAATACGCCGTATTCCAAGCTCCAAAAATGGACGTATTCCGTATAAAATTTTCTTCGCTCCGCGAATTCAGACAGTAGGACACACACACACACACACACACACACACACACACACACACACACACACACACACACACACACACACACACACACACACACACACACACACACACACACACACATGCATGCATGCATGCATGCACAGACACACAGCCCCTTCCCCTTCCCCCTCAAGACCTTCCCAAGGGCGAGCGGCGAGGACACGCGCAGGCCGCACCTCTAGTGAGGCCCGCATAGTAATGTGGGAGACTCATGCCGCCGCCCCTGCCACCCTGTGTGTGTCAGTGTGCCTGTGGTAGTGAGAGACTGCCAGCGAGAAGCTGGAGGCAGGTCGCTAGACTGAGATGAGACCGCCAGTGGAGTTGGGATTCCACCGTGCACCGCGCTGCGAGCCTGTCGTGTCCCTTGTCAGGAGCAGGAGAGCCCACCTCGCACCTGTCCCCCTGATCATCCTTCCAAAATCCTGCTCGTGCAGGTGTGGACCCTGTCCTCCTCCCCTATCCCTCGTTTGGGTTGTCTGTTTTCTTTCTTTCTTGGCAGCGCCTCTCTGGGGTGTTGCATAGGCGGGGAGTCTCCCCCGCTGGTCTCCTCCTTCCCATTTTTCTTCTCTTTTGTTTTCTTTTGAGGGCAGAACTCCGGGTTTGTCTTGTATGTGCGTGCGGGGCGGCGCGGGGCAGGGGCGCGCAGGGGCCAGGGCTGAGGGCCAACGGTCATCGGCTCGTCGAGGATGGAGAAGGGGAAGGGGGGATGGGAGGTCGGCGAAGGGGTAATAGATATCAGGGTGCGTACGGGGTCGTAGCCGCCACTTTCCTGCCTCGCAAGGGCGGGGCTGTCCCGGAAAGTGAGAAACGCCGGGCAGCGTGGCGCATCTACCTAACCTCCAATACTTTGAGGCTTCTCCTTCGGGCTGCTCCATCTCCTCTCGTCTCTTTCCCACACTAGGCGGGGCGGTGGGTGTGTGCGCCTGGCCGCGCGCGGTGCGGTGTGGTGTGTGTGTGTGTCTTGTGTGTGTGTGTGTGTGTGTGTGTGTGTGTGTGTGTGTGTGTGTGTGTGTGTGTGTGTGTGTGACCGCGACAAGGGACCCCTCCACTTTTTCTTATTAACAACGAAGGCGCTCTCAAAAAACCAAAAAGCTTCTTCTGCACAGAGAAGTGCCATCGCATAGTCGTTTAGGGCGGCATCGCTCACCGCACGTCACCGCTGCTCAGGCTGCTCTCCGTCAATCCAAAAGTTCATGCAACGCGCGAATGAGCAGTTGCGATGCCAGCAAGAGATAGGCTGTCCACCTGAATATCGTCCTCGTCAAGTGGCTCGTCGGCAACTTGAGCACCGCCGGGACTTCAGAGCGGCTCCGCGCAGCACCAGCAGCCCCCGTGCGCGTGCCCGGTGTAGCGCAGCAAAAAAGCGAAAACTGCCGCGAAGCCGAGAAGCCGTTATGCTGCGTTCAGGGTGCAGGACCTAGTCACTTCAGAACTGACTGTTGTTGCTGTTTGTACCCGTGCGTGTGTGCCTGCGTTTACCCGTTTTAAAAAGGTCAACCGTCTCAAACAGTACGGGTAGAGAGACTAACTCTCCCAGGCCGGACACGGGGTCGTCTTGATACTAAGGCAGACTTAGACACATGGAGGAGGCCGATGGTGAGACTCGGCGGCTGTGGGAGAAGCGCGAGGGTCAGGCCGAGGTGCCCGACGTGGACGTACTGTCGCCATACGAGGAGTCGCAGGCGTCACCGCGCTCCTCCCCCTCGTCCTCGCCGAGAATTACGCAATGGCGCTGGACACCACGCAGCAGTCCGTGCACGGACACGGCGGGCCGCTCTGCGCTATCAAGCTCTCTGCTCTCATGGCTAATCATAACGTGATCGTCACACACGGCACGCGTCCACAACGCCGCATTCAAGTATACGCAGGATGTTTGTATGTTGCTCAGTCAGGACGCCTCGACGCCGGCTAGCTGAGGTCCGGCGACTTGTCCCGCTCGAATCGGTGACGAGACTGTGATGATCATCTCATAGAATATGGTGGCGGATGTCGACGGGGTGGTGGTCGGGCGTGCTCGATGGATAGCGGATGTCGGCGGGGTCGGGCGTTCGCGGTGGATAGCGGTTCGGCGCAGCTCTGCGTAACGCTGCACCGCAGTTCGCCATTGGCCAGGACTTATCACGTCACGCAAGCAATCGGGAGGTGCGTTTTGGAGCGTGCGAGGCGTGCGCGGAGGCTTCTTCTTGGAGCCGGAGGACATGGTACAAAAAGGCGAGCGCATCCACTGACAGCCAGACCGACCTGAAGCGGGCAGCGCAGTTTTCTTTTCTGTTGTTCTCTGCGCCGACGTTTGCGCCAGCAGAGCCCATTTGCGTTAATTCCTCTCGGGGGGGTGCAGAACAGCAAAAGCAGCGTTTCTCGACCCGCACCACTTGAGATCATGAATGAATGACAGGAAGACGCAAACACCTTACTTATCCACACGCAACGCTCAGAACACTGCAGACTTGGAAAATGACAAGTGCGCGCCGCGGGCGAAGAGAAAATTTGAGCGGAAGTTGAACGGGAGAACCTCGGCGGGCGCATCGCGGGGATCGCTCACGTTATGGCCGCCAACTCTTGCACTCCCTTCTCGGAGGTGCAGGGCTGGCCCGCGCCTGCGGTGGACGCGCGCACGGTGTGCACGCCGCTGGAGTCGCGTGTGGCCTTTTTCGGGGCCGCAGATGGCAAGCCGCACCTCTACGTGCTCACCGTCGCGCTGCTCTCGGCTCACCGCTTCCACCCGGCGGCGGGCTACTATGCGCTCATGCCCCAGGGCGAAGCCGAGGCATGCCGTCGTGCGGAACATCCCTTCAGCATGTGGTCCAGGGGCGTCGTCCGCGCGCTGCCGTTGGACGCGGCATCGGCAACGCAGTTTGGCAGTGGCGGAGGCTATTCACGGTACACCTTCCACAGGCATGCGGTTCCCGAGATGCTTGCGGCTCGAGGCTACGACTTCAGCATTAACCTGGACCCAGACGTCATCACGCTCCGCCCGTGGGACCTCCGCGTGCTGCTCGAGGTCAGGCTCATTGCCGGCCGACAGGTCGGCCGCGGTAGCCGGACCGTCAGGTGGCTGCAAGAGCGGCTGGAGGCGAACGCACAGGCGGGTATCAGCGGAGGGGAGAGGGCGGCGGCGGGCGTTGAGGGCTTCCTCTCGCGCACACTCAACACCACCAGGTGGGCACTGGAGCGGACTCCCGAGATCAATGGCGGCGTGCTCGTCTTCAACAATGCGGCTGCCGTGAAGGCGCAGTGGCTGCTCACGTGCGTCAGGAGATACGCCGCGCTGCACGCCGTCGTGGAGGGCGACCAAGACCTGATCAGCCTCGTTCTCGCCGCGAATCGGTCTCTGCCACGCGCTTCCCTCCCCACGGTGTACAACTACGCCTTTCGTCGCGACAGGGAGCGCCTGCCATACCGAGAAGCCAAAAGGCTCCGGCACGGAGTCTTCGAAGGCGTTGCGGTCAGCATCCACTTTGTCGCGGACGGCAAGCCCTGGCAGCGGCAGAATCTGACGACGTACCCAAGTTGGCTGGCAGCGGCACGCCTTTGGTACGTCAACCAATGGCACGAGCTGTCGCGATCCGTGCGGCCTGGCCTGCTCCAATCGCTCTCGCACCAGGAGCTAAGTGCCTTTGGCGATCTCGAGCCGCTTCGCGTGGCTCAGAACCCGAATCTGACTCTCCTCGGCGTCGCCGACTCAACCGCTCGCCTCAGCTGTCGCTGCTTTGTGAGGGGGCTGCTTTCCGGCGGTCAGAAGGCCGATCCGGCAGAGCTGCTTGCCGGGGCAAGGGGCGTCGGAAAGAGGCAAGGTCGACCAGAGTTTGACGCTCTGGTGGAGTCGGTGGAGGACAGGGCTGAGGCCCTCCGCGCGCTCACCCAACGGCAGCGTGGCGTGCTCCTCCAAGAGTGCGGAGGAAGCTCCTCGACACACGAGGAACAAAGCTGCAAGGCCATTGCGGATGCGGAATCGCGAAGAAGGGCTGCCAGCACAAGCACACGGGCGACAGTCAACAGCACCATCGCCGACCTCTATCCCGCCTTCCTCCGCTTCCTCGACGAGCACAAGGCGGTACCAGTCAAGAGCGTGTACGCGGACGTGCACCAGTGCGACCTCGCCCACTGGTACGCCCGGATCAAGCAGGCGAGCACGCCGCCGAGGATGGAGCTCACGCGGAAGATTGGGACCGCGAATGTGGAGGCGCTCATCGCCCGCGTGGCCGCGCTTCCAAAGTTGAGGAAGCCTCGGGGCGCCGTGAGGCTCTCGGATAGCCCGTGTAAGCGCTCTCTGTCTTCGAGAGGGCGGCTGGTCTCCTCTCCGCCGGCGGCCTCGCGGTCGCCCGGCGTCCAGCAGATCCTGATGCACACCCAGAACCACCGCACCAGGAGGCGAAGGAGGCACTTTGATGCAGCGGCAGCGGAACCTACTCCGGCGCCGACGTGAGGACCAGGAGGTCTCGCGTGTGGTCTCGCTTGGTAGCGGTCAGCACGTACAGCGAGCCAGCGGCGGCACCGATGTCGCGGTCGGGCCGGGTCTCGGCGCTCTCGGACTCGCTCGGTGGACGCTCGCCGCGCTCGGTGAGGTCGGTGGACGACGGTGCGCCTGCGCGTTTTGTGGCTGTTGCGTGTTGTTGTTGCCGTTGGCTCGGCGTTGGTAAATCTCGGGACAGAAAATACTATAGATGTATGCTTCCAGATGCACCGCTCAGGGCTCAGCCCACAGCCGGACAGCGCTAGTATCCCGCACCGCCCGGTCCCGCACTGCGCACATGAAAATGTATCGGAGTACGGCATCCACCACGCCGCGCCAGCCCTGGCTCGCAAACGCTCTCCTATCCTCCCTGACAAGCCCCGGCGCCTCTCGCATTTCGCCGGAGTCCTCCTTGCGCGAGATCCGCTAAACATGGTGGTGTGTAGTGTGGGGGGGGGGGCACCGCCTCTGTCAGGAGACACGCCTTCATCCCCGCTCGCCTTCTACCGTCGCAAGGCCTCCGGCGCCTCACGGCACCCGCTGCGCGTTGAGGTCGTGCCGCTGGCCCCACCGCTGCAGGAAGGGCGTGAGAACGAGGCCGGCCGGCACATACCACGCCCTCCGCTCCGGGTCCCACCGCCCACCCATCGCCTTGCAGTCGTCCTTCTGCGCGAAGGGCGTCGTCAGGAACGTGCGGAAGGGGGCGGACGCAGGAGCGTACTGCTGCGGTGGAGGGGCGTACTGCGGCGGAGGGGCGTACTGCTGCTGCGGAGGCGGCTGGTGCTGCTGGGGAGGAGGGTACATCCGAGGCAAGTGCTGCTGCGGTGGCGCCGGCCGGTGCTGCTGTGGCAGAGACGGCTGGTACGGCCACGCGTGTACTGCCGGGGACGCTTCGCGCTGCGAGGGAGGTGGCTGCGCCGGCGGCGGCTGCTGCGCCGCTGTCCGCGCCTGCGCGGCGGCTTGCATCCTGGCGAGTTCGGCCTGCGCCTGCTGCTGCGCCTGCTGCTGCGCCTGCTGCTGCGCCTGCTGCTGCGCCTGCTGCTGCGCCTGCTGCTGCGCCTGCTGCTGCGCCTGCTGCTGCGCCTGCTGCTGCGCCTGCTGCTGCGCCTGCTGCTGCGCCTGCTGCTGCGCCTGCTGCTGCGCCTGCTGCTGCTGCCATGCCGCCTGCGCGTCCGCCAGCCGTTTCGCCGCCGCCGCCTTCGCCTCGTCCTCGAGCGCCGCCACCGTACCGGGCGGTAGCCACCTACCGGGCGGCAGCCACCTGACGCTAAGCGAGGTGAGGTGGACGCCGGCATCCACCGCTACTCGACTAGCGGCAGCCACCTCTCAAACGCGGCGAACGAGCTCGCATGCTCGACGACGTACCACTTCTTCTCGTCGCCGTCCCACCGCGCGCCCGCCGCCTTGGCATCGTCCTTCTCGTCGAACGGCACGTCGAGCAGCGTGCCGCCGCCCTTGCGCCGCAGCCGCTCGAGCGAGCAAGGCGCGCTCAGCTGCGGGATCGCCCCCTTTGGGAGCCACTGTGCGGGAGGAGGACGGGTGCATGAGAAGGAATGAGTAGGCTCGTTGCACTCTGACAAGTGCTAGCCGCCGACCTGCCGGAAAGAGGAGAGGTTCGCGCTCGCGGGCGCGTAGAGCATGCCATTGAGCGAGTCCCAGCGCGCGCCGCAGCTCTGCGCGGCCGCCTTGTGCTTGTGGGCGTCGGCGAGCCAGGTGCCGCCGCCGTGGCGCATCAGCGCCTATGAAGCTTCCTAGACAGTTCGCGGAAGGTTCCTGGGAGGAACAGCCGCCGTGGCGCGCGTCGGCGCCGAATAGTCCTTTGGCGGCTTCGCCTTCTTGGCGCGCTTGGGCTTGGGCTTTGGTCGCGGCGGCGCTGGCGTGGAGGCGGGGAGCTGGTAGGAGGGCGCGGCTGCGGTGGCAGTCACGGTCGCGGCGACAACCCTGGGAGCGGGAGGTGGCGCGAGGTGCTGCCGCTGGAGCGGCGCCCCGCCCGAGCAACGCTGGTAGGCGATGAGGAACTCCGGGTAGACGTATTCGCCGTGGAAGGTGACGAACTCGCGGTAGCGGAGGAGCGCGCCGCCGAGCTCGGCGAGGAGGGAGTGGTGGAAGACGGGCGGAGAGACGCCTGATGGACGATGAAGGAGGACGAATGAGAATTAGAGGAGGGGGGGGGGGGGGAGACGGGCGGAGAGACGCCGTCGACGACGCTCAGCTCGCGCGTGTTGCCGTTCGGGAAGATGGGCTTGCGCGTGTCCATCGACACGGCTCGCTCGCCCGACTGCTGCGTGCGCACCTGTGGGGGGATGCCATCTCGGGTCCTCTAGTCATCTCGAATCCTCTCGCTCGCCTGCCGCGTGCGCACCGAGTGGCCAAGCGCGACGCGGCATGCGAGGGCGTAGTAGACGTTACCTAGAGAAGCCCGAGAAGGCTCCTAGAAGGCTCCTGGAGGCAGGCGAGGGCGTGGCAGGGGTCTGCCCGGGTGGCGCTGCGACGAGTCGTACAGGCGCTGGTGCAGCTCGGACGACACAGAGAGCCGCTCGTCCAACTCGACGTACTGGTCGCTCTTGCCGAGGTCCTCGGCGAGGTAGACGCCGTTGCCAAAGGCGGTGCCCGCGTTTGTGCCGGAGAAGCGCTCGTTGAGTCCGTTGGCGAGCATAGACAACAGCGCGCCCGGCTGCGTGCCGTGCAGCAGCAGCGCCTCGTTCACCTCGCGGCGCAACGGCTTGCCAGGCAGCACCGCCGCCGCCGCCGCCGCCGTCTGCGCAGCCTTGCTGCGCTGCGCCGCCGGCTTGCCGCGCTGCTGCTGCACGATGCGAGCCATCTGGGCCTTGACCTTGGCGACGCCCGACTCGAAGGCGGTCCTAGTGAGTCATCACCTCTTCCTCGTTGATTCAACGTTGCGACTCGAGTGGGGCGTCTCGAGGAAGGAAGGCGGTCCGGCTGTCCGCTGTCCGCTCGGTCCGGCGGTCCGGCTGTCCGGGTGTGCTCGAGTGGCACCCTCCCAAGGAAGTGGCTTGGAAGGATCTAGAAGGCGGTCCGGTTGTCCGCGTGCTCGAGCCGCCACGCACGCGCCAGCTTGAGGGAGTCGTACCCCCGCCCGCCTGCAGGAGAGGACCCGACGCTTCGGTGGACGGCTCCAGGAGGAGGGAGCGAGATCGCCCGCCCGCCCGCCCTGCGCGTCGCGGCCTCTGCCGAGCCCCGAGCCGTCGGTCGCCGTCAGCAGCTCGAGCCCCTCCCACACGGCCGGCTCCTAGGAAGGGCGGGAGGGAGGCTCCGAGAAGGTCGCTGGAAAGTCCCCCTCCCACGCGGCGCGGCTCCTCGGAGGCGGAGACAGGCAGCAGCACGAACCCGTCCGATGCGAGCCGCGCCTGCTGTTCGGCGGTCATCTGGCTCATCATCTGGCTCAAGGGCGCGTCCTCCTCGCCGCACAAGTCGATCGTCTCGCGGGCGGCGGCGCCGGCGGAGGAGGAAGCGCCGCCTGCGCCCTTTGCGCTCTGGCGGCGAGCCCTGTCGGCCTTGGCGGCTGCCTTCTCGGCGGCGGCCTGCGCGCGCGCGAGGGAGAGGTCCTCGTACGCCTCCTCCTCGTCGCTCTCCTCCCCCTCCTCCCAATCCTCCTCCGCCGCGCGGCACCTGACCGACCAGCAATACTCACTCATTCACATCCCTCCCCCTCCCCCCCCCACTCCCCCACCGCAGCTGCACCGGTTGCGCATCGGGTCGTCGCTCAGCGCGCACTCCCACTTCCCGGGGAGAGACGACGGCAGCACGGCGGTGCGCAGCCGCCGCCACTTGTCGCACTTGTCGCACTGCACGAAGACGGTCGGCTCCTCGTCCACAGCCGCAGCCTCCTTCGCCGCAACCTCCTTCGCCGCCGCCTCCTTCGCCGCCGCCTCCTTCGCCGCCGCCTCCTTCGCCGCCGCCTCCTTCGCCGCCGCCTCCTTCGCCGCCGCCTCCTTCGCCGCAGCCTCCTTCGCCGCAGCCTCCTTCGCCGCAGCCTCCTTCGCCGCAGCCTCCTTCGCCGCAGCCTCCTTCGCCGCCGCAACCTTCGCCGCCGCCTCCTTCGCCGCAGCCTCCTTCGCCGCAGCCTCCTTCGCCGCCGCAACCTTCGCCGCCACCTCCTTCGCCGCCGCCTCCGCCGCCTCCTCCGCCGCCTCCGCCTCCTTTGCCGCTGCCTCCGCCGCCTCCTTCGCCGCCGCCTCGGCTGCCGCCTCCGCCTCCGCCTTGGCCGCCCCCGCCACCTCGTCCTGTGCTGCGGGGTTGGTGCTCGTCGCCGCACCTCGCAGGCGGATGCGGACCGCCTCCAAGGGCCCCGCCTCCCCTGCCTCTGCTCCGCGCGGTTTGAAGAACTTTGGCAGCACGCGCTCTTCAATGTCGCCGTCGTCGTACTCAACGTCGACGGTGTTATCGGGATGCACCCTGGTCGCCGTGCCAGGGTACCACTTTGTTCCGACGGCGCCGCCACGTTTTGATGCCTCAAACCTCGCAAGCAGTGGCTCGCCAACAGCCGGCAGCCACGCCGCCGGGAGCGGCTTGTCTACGCTCTTCTTCTCGAAGCGAGCGCGCTTCGCCGGATGGTTGGAGTCCGCGTTCTCGTTCTCGTTGTCGGGCTTGGAGCGGGAGGAGCGGCGCATAGGCACAGGTGCGCGAGAGACAGTCGTGGACGCCACCCCGCCGAGCGCAACCGAGCCAACACGACGTGTGGCTCAAAAGGCGGTCGAGGAAAAATAACGCCGCGCCCTCAGCGGAGCTGGGAATAGGACCGCCGCGAGCGGCGTGGCGTGGAGCGGTTGAGCATCCCTCCGGGGGCCCCTCTGCGCCGGGGAGGCGTTGTTGGAGGCTAGGACGCAAGCGTCCGTCGCCCTTTTTCAAACTCGGGGCCCACTCCGCTACGCTCCGACCCGAATTTGGAGGGCCTAAAAGTTTAAGGTGTTGCTGCGCAAAAGGGGAAGACGCTCCACGCACAAAAAGTATATGTATCAGTTCTTACGAACGTACTTCCTCTTAGGCGGACCCTCCCGATGCCAGGACGCATCTAGTGCCAGTCTACGCTTTAGGATAGCTTGTTCGTTTGGCCGCCCACATGCTATGTGATGCCGCATGGTTCGGCCTGCTTCGCCTTTAGTGGGAGTTGACCACTGGTCGCCTGCAACATGTTCGCCGGTTGAAGGAAAGACATAGGCTCGCTGCGACGCTTCCCACACCGGGATCTCTTGCCCGTAAGTTGTGACAGCCCGTTGTGGATCGCGCACGCGCGCCGCAGCTCGCCGCACTTGCTTGAAAGTGAGACCCGGCAGCTGTGGCAGCAACGCCTCGTGAATTTTCTTGTCGCTGAGGTACATGTATCCCCTTTGCTGCGTCAGCCCCTTCACGGCAGCGAGTGCCTCTTTCGAGGACGGCATGGCGTCAGGATGTTGTTCACGCCAGCGCTCACGGGCGACAGTCAATGCAGACCGGACTGCAGATTGATGCGACTCCCCTAGTGCTGCTGCAACGGTGGTGTGATCGACAGGCTTGCCGTGCTGCTCGAACACCTCGTACACGCGATCGACTAGCCTCAGCTGTACCCGATGCGGCATTTGTGGCCCCGAAAGTGAGAGCACTTGCTCACGCTTTTCGTTGGTCCATGTCATCGGCGGCGGTAGCGGAGGCGGCGGCGGAGGAGGCGGAGGCGGTGGGGACGGAAGGCGCGCGTAGCTGACGGCATCGGCTGCTTTGGCCTTTGCGAGCGCCTCGTCCTGAGCCAGCATCCCGGGGATGTCGAGCCGATGCCGTCCTTGCAATAAAGACTCTGGAGACAGCATCCTGAGTGGCACGCTGGCGCTCAGCTAGCAGCGTGTGCGCCTCCTCCTCGGTTAATGCCTCGCATCGCAAGCCATGGTGCCAGGGACCAGTGACGGCAGTCGTTTTGGCAGCAAATATAGCCTCAAAGCCGTACACAAACCGGTAGCCGGCGGTCCATTGTGGTACACTGGTGGCCCAACTGCTTGCGCCCCTAGCCCGGGCCAACCTGATCGTGATCCACGGCGCCCTGTCAGTGTCATATGGTCCAGCCCAGCACGGCCCTGCCAAGACACGAGTTTTTGAACCCAAAGATGGGTGCGAGCTGTCACCGTGTTCCGCTTCGTAGCTGTGTCGGTAGCTGGGGTGGCCGTACACTGGCTGGCCGGGCTGCAGCCAATACACACCTGTGAATCCAGTACCCTTCCAATAGCCACGCTTGTCCAACTCGGGCGGCACCACAAGGTGCAGCGCGGCTGGAGCCTCCGCCTCGCGCTCGAAGGAAGCCCCGCTCCGCAAGTAAATCACGTCCCGCACCACTTCATCATAGCTGCTCAAGTTGCGCTCCACCCAGTACGCCGCCTCGTAGGACGCCGCTGGTAGGTTGATGTGCGATCGCACCTGCTCCTCCGTGCGGCCAACAACGCTATTCGTGCGGAAGAGCCACTGCAAGCGGACTGTGCCCCCTGAGCCAATGCGGCGGCGAATGGCAAAGCGCATACAAAAGTCGGGGTCGCAGAGAGCGTCGCGCAGCAGTTGAGCATGCTCGTCGGTCGCGTTGTTTAGGACGCCACGCCAATTATCTGCGCGCCCATCTGTTGCCTGGCATCCCCTGCGAATTCGTCGCTCGTGATCAGCTCCGCTGCCGCTCGGAGCAACCAGTGCCGTGTCGAGATGAAGCTCCGCGACGACGCCCGTGGACTGCACGCGCAGGGAGAGGCGCACGAGCTCCCGCACGGCAAGCGACTTCTCGGCATGCGCCGCCTGACGCCTGTCGGCATCCCATTCTTGCAAGCAAGCCATTTCTACCGACCGCGTATTTGGTCGACGGGACGGACGTTTTGGTACATTGGTACGTTTGGCACCAGCTGAAGGCTTGCGTCCGCAAAAGCCCGTTGCCAACCCCCTTTTTGCCGGAGTCTCGCGAATCAATTGGCCTCCGCTCAAGGTGTGAACATATTCGCTGCGGTCACAATTCGGTCAAACCTAAGATCCCTTGTCAGGAGCAGGAGAGCCCACCTGTGCCCCTGATCGTCCTTCCAAAATCCTGCTCGTGCAGGTGTGGACCCTGTCCTCCTCCCCCATCCCTCGTTTGGGGTCTGTTTTCTTTCTTTTTCAGAATTTTACCTAACCTAAGAACGCCGGGTTTGTCTTGTAAGAGAGAGAGAGAGTATGCACGACTGGTGGTCTGCGGTCAAAGGCGGTAAGAGCAAAAAAGCGCACCAGCCGGCCATGGCGCTGCGACCCCCCTAGAAAAAAAAATTGCGTTTTACCTGCGAAAGACACTACTCTCCCCCCCCCGTCACTTGTCCCCCTTGGCGTGGCGCGCCTCTCCCCCAGCTCTCGGTATCGCGTACTGCACGAGGCTACCGTGGGCCCCGCCTGCGCGCTGGGGGTTCCCTGCCCTGTCGGGAAGCCTAGCTCTGAACCTGGGGTCGCTACCTAATGCGGGGCTCCTGGACGGGTGATGAAGTTCGCCTTGAATCTCTCGTCTCGCTTTCCCCCCTACTCGCGTCCATCGGGGGTACTCCCGTGCCTTGGCTCTCTGATCTCCCCCTCCCCCCCCCCCCCCCTCCTTCCCTCTCCGGGATGAGAAGCGCGCTGCTGTCCCTAGAGTGGGGTCGGGTGTTGGGGGAATTGATTAGGCACCATGTTGTCCGCGGCCGCCCACGGACGATCGCCGGAGTGGGCCGAAGGACAGAGGCTTGCCTGCGTGGGGGCGCGCGGGCGCCCACTCAGGCTCGGCCTCCGTTGTCTCAGCCTTCAGTTCACCTCTCCTAGCGCCCGGTTTTGCGTGGCGACCTTCATTTCGGGGTCGAAGGTGCTACACACACTTGCCCCCTGGTGGTCTGGCACTCGGCGTTATACCTACTGGGGTTAGGCTGTTTTTCTTTTATTTTCTGAATTCACGCGGTGTTCTTTCTTTCCTGTCAGTTTGGCGTTATCCCTACTGGGGTTAGGCTGTTTTTCTTTTATTTTCTGAGCCTCGGGGGGGCGGGGGGGAGGGGGGAAGTGGGTCCCCGCGGTGTTTTTTCTTTCCTGTCAGTTTTCTTTCTATAACGAGCTTTTTTCTTTTTGGTTTCTTTTTATGCTTATGGCAGTAAAAAGAACTTTGTCGTTTGTGCGGCAGGCGCGGGCTCGGTCGATATCCCATACTTCGACTCACATCTTCACTGCTGCGGTGAGTGCCCGGGGAGGCGCGGCGGCGGGGTGAATGAAAAGGTCTCAGAATGCACAGAGAAAGAAAACTCGGTTAAACTGGTAACTGCGTGGGCAGAGGCGCGCGCTGCAGTTTCTCTGATCGGGCTGCTGGCGGTGTGAGCGCGAGACGGCGTGGTGAGGCGTGAGGCAGGCTATTGTTGTGGGGTGCGGGCTGCGTCGTTAGGCGTATGCGTGCACATGGTGCTGTATGCTGTGTACTTTGCTGTGTGTGCAGGCAGGCTGGCAGTGTGTGCTCTGTGTGCTGTGTGCAGGCAGACTGGACAGCGGACTGAACGGATGGCGGAGCGTGCGCGCAGCGTGCCACGCGCGCGCCTCGTGCAGTGCAGACCAGGCGCGTGGCGGCAGGGGCGCAGCGCGGAACACACGAGCGAAAGAACAAGAACAATCACTCCGGCAGCTCAGTAGGCAATCAAGTGTCACAGCAGCCCTGCGTCGGGTAACGTAGCGCGAGCTCGGTGGCCTGCGCGCGCGGCGTGCCGCCGCGCGCGCCTCGCGGTGAAGCGTCTTGCCGGTCGCGTCGCGCTCCGGTGCGGTATGGTGCCTGAAGAAGGTGCAGGCGCTTGTGCAATGGGCGCAGACTGCAGTGAGAGGTGCACTGCGGCGCGCGCGTCGCGGCGTGAGTGGTCGTGCGCCTGGGTCTGGTGGTGCGAGAGGCGCGTGGCTGGTGCGGGCGGCGCGGGCCGGCCATGGGGTGCCAGCACAGAGCAGACGCACATGGCACAGCTCTGAAATGGCGCTGCGCGTGTTTGCGTGCGCGCGGGGACGTACGCGCAGTTTTCACGCGGTGTGCGTGGAGAAGGGCATGAGAGGCGCCGGCCGCGCGTGGCTCGGCGTGTGGGAGTGTTGGGGTGCCCGTAGGCGCGTGGGAAGGTGCCCGTAGGGCGATCATTTTCGGGGTGCTGAAGGAACTGTTGTTCACATAAACGCACAACTCCGGACCCAAGACGCACAAGCACAGACAGTCGAGAAGGGGGAGAGACAGCAACGACAGTCAGAAGTCAGCGCTGGGTCCCAGGAAGGCGAATGCGATGACGGCCTCTAGTGTGAGCTCTAGCTAGTGAGCTCATACGCACGCCGGCAGATCGCGACTATATACAGCTAGTTAAGAGCCGACCGACCCTCGCGTCCGGTGCTCACCGACGGCCGGGCGGGCCGCCCGCCCACGCGCCGCCTACGCGCAGCGCGTGCGCCGCAAACTCGCCCGCCGACAGCGCTGGCCAGTCTCCATCGGCCGTCGCGAGAGGCCTGCCCAGGGTCAGCAAGCAGCCGGTGCTCGGACTCAAGGCGGGCGAGCGACACCTCTGCTTGAGCACTCGCCGAGGTGGCATATAGGCGTCGAGGTGCTCACAAGCCGCCAGGCGTTGCCGCTGTGGTTGCTACCTTGGGCGGCAAAGGTGTCGAGTATGATTGCGACGCTCGGATTGACAAACGTTCGTGCATCTTGTTCTTTTGAGCCACGGAGCGGCCGAGGAGCCCCCGGGCCCGGCGACTGGCGACTTCGCTGTACACTGAAACCCCGACCGCCGACGGGAGAGAAAGATAAGAAAGAGAGTGAGAAGAGAGACCGACGCTCCCGCCTTCCTTGTTCCTTGGGGAGTGGGGTACTCCTCTCTTCACTCTGGCTAGTTCCATTTCACTCTGATACCTACAACTCTGACACGCTAATTAATCTTGAAAACGTCCAACGGAGCTCCGTGTTGCTCCCAGCGCCCTCCCCCGCGCTTCCTGCGGCCCTAGCCGATGGTACTAGCATGGAAGGTCATCTGGCTACCGCGAGAGCGACCCAACTCGTCGACATCGTCCGATGATGGTGCCTCAAAGTCAGCCTTCGGAGGCTATCGTGGGGTCGAGCCGGCGGTGGCCGTGACATGTGGTTCCACCACCCCTCGTAGGCTTTGCCTCTGACCGTCACCGTTCCCAGGCTGCCTAATGGGATGGAAAGAAAGGCTCGGCGAGCGTATAGAAGCGTGCTCGACCTCGTCGTGGCAGCCTGCACGGCAGCGCTGGCAGGCGCGATGAGCGTCAAGCCACCTGACCCGAGACGGGTCGCAGGCGTCGTACCGAGCGCGTCGAGACCGTGTCCTGATGTGATCTGCACGGGTGAGTCACGTCGGCGTCAAAGGAGCGACGTGTGACCTGTCAGAGCTTGATCTCCGATCTCAGCGGCGTCGAGTCGTCTCCGGCGCGCGACAAATGTACCTCCCCAGGACGCGCAGAGTCAGCTGCGACCCCGCCGAGTGGACGGGCGCACACCGCGCCACCTGCTGTGGCGCCCGTGCAAGGTGAGAGACGAATAATATCCTGCT